AAAAAATATTGATTGTTTTCTTTTCTATATTCATATCTTCTCTTAATAATTTCTTATTTATGTATCTAAATCTTCTCTATAATAAATTTTTTTTTGATAAACTTGTCTACGAGTAATTAGTAGGACGAAAAAATCTCATCAAATCATATAATCTGTTCTTCATTGATTAATTAGATTTTTTTTTTCGACGAAACGGGAATGGAAGAAAAATACATTTTCGACGAAACAGGAAAATCAATTAAGCTTTCGACGAAACGGGACCTAATCGTATTTTCATGTAACACTGAAGCGCTTGTCTTGAGCAAGAAAGTCATGCGCTATGGAAAAATCATGAACTCTGTGCAGGTCAAGAGCATGAAAAAAAAGTTCGTCCAGGGTGATATTTTCTCCTGACAAGTTAATAATGGGCAAGTTTTTTTATGTGACATTAGGTATATATATTATATGAGAAAAAATAAAGATAATCACGTGTTCTATATTACTATTTGTTTCATAATCATTCACAAAATACATAAAGGAAAGCAAATAAATTCTACTTAGAAATTCAACCAAAAATACCAGGACATAGAAACCATAAATTATCATTCGTACTGTCCAGGGCACTTTCGCAATATGATTCTTCTCTTCTCTTCTTTTCTTTTTCTTATCTTATTCTAGTGATTCAAAATGTCGTTAAAAGTGAAGGCGAGAAGAAAATTTAGAAACCAGGAGAAAAGCCTAAAAACCAGGAGTCTCCTGGCTAAATCAGGAGGTTTGGCAGCCCTGGTCTGATTACTGTTATTATGCTGTATCTCATATTAATGTAACTTTTATTTATATAGGGATTTCATTTGAAGTTCTTTTCAAATATCTTTTCATTTCCTTATTAAAAAATTAAAGAAATGAATAGAATTTTATTGAAATTGAATAGAATATTTTTCTTTTAATTAAAAATAGTTTTTATTTATTATTTAATTTAAAAATAACATAAAATACAACTATATTCGAATAGAAAAAGAGTTGTTTTGCCGAATGTTATAAACAAACTTATATCGAATGATTGTTCACAGGCGACATCATTATTATCAAGTTGACTTCATGACTTATTCATAACCAATAGAAAAAGAAAAAAATTCTTTCTTTGTACAGAATATTCTTTTACCTGTATCATACCTTTATTACAATCTTTTTTTCCTCTTTATATAAAAATTTTTTATACATAATTAATAATTGCTTAGAATTCATTATATGACAAAAAAAATATCTATTAGTGAATGTTTTTTACTATTTTAAGATGCTGTCATTTCAATATCTTCGATATTGGCAATCAATCAATTTTCGATGTGTGTCCTTAGGTAAGAAAAAAAAACAAAATATCTACTAAGAAACTAACTGCCCGAAGTAATCATAACTTTTTCCTATAAATAGAAGATGTATATACCGGGCAAACCTTAAGAATATATCAATTCATGTAATGCAAAGACTAAAAAAATAGAATTTTCTCTGTAAGATTCTAATTTTTAAATAAACAAATCTTTTCAGAATTTTCAATCTGAAACTATTTTCAATATTGATATTTCAACTGACATATCCAACTTGTTTTCAGATGTAGTGTACACAAAATTTGAATTTTTTAAAATTTAAATATTGAAGATGTGGCATCAAAACATTCTGAAACTTTTTAGACAAAACAATTGAAATATTGATATGAACATAGTTTCCGATTAAATTATAAAAAAACTTGTTTGCTGAAAAATTAATATCTTGTAGGGAAATTTTTACTATTCAGTCTATTGATTGTATGATTTTATATCCAATTAAGGTTTGTCTGGCATATTAGTTTGTACTTATGGACAACTCATCGATCACGAGTATTAAATCGTTACTAGGGTAGTTTCCTCCTCCGTTTTTCTTGCTACATATAATTGACATATATCTACAGATCGAAACATAAGTTAATGTGCATGATCAAAAATCGGTATGACCTGAAAAAAGATATCATTTGATTTTCGATTGTCTAATTATGAATACTTTTCTTGTTCTTTCATAGCTATTCGATAAGAGGAATAATTCTAGATTAATTCTAATGAAAATAATGCGAAAACATGTCTATACATGTTTTAATTCGAAAGGTTACCGAATCATTTTTAGTTTACATAAGAGAAAGGTAAAAGATATTTTTATGATAGACAGTCCTTGGTTTATTTTTTTTGTCATTTGGATGATTATTTCGCACGTTCTTTTTTCTCTTCACATGACTGAGTTTATATGCTCACATATAAGCGTGCTCTTTTGATTATGTACTGTTGATGTCTTACGTTGAAGGGTACAAAAAAAAAAAAACTCCGTTCGTATTCATAGTTTAATGCTTTTCTTTGCTACTCTTCATTTATCATGAATATTTCTGACATCATCATTTGATGAAAATGGTAGAAAAACATTTTCGTTTTTTTTTCTTCATTTTTTTCCGATTCTTTATCATAAAAATGTCAATAGTATATATAATTTACTCCTTTTTTTTCTCTCTATATACGTACTTTTGATTATTAAAATATTTACTTATATTTAAAGGAAACAAATTTTATTTGACGACAAGGTATGAGCGAAGATGGTTCGACGATAAAGGAGAGCGTGATTATTTCTCCAGAAAAGGAACAAATAAAATCTGGTAATACAAATAAGAAACAAACATTACATGAAAATAATAATTCTCAATATGAACAATTTATTGAACGAATTGAACAACTTGATCTTATTGATGAAGCACAGGTTATTATTAATATTTCTTAAATTTACTTTCATTGATGAAGATTATTTCTCTATAAAATAGTTTTTATCAATAACTATAAATCATTGAAAAGAGAAATAAGATTATTAAAGAAAAAAATCCATGTATTATTTCAGATCGGATCATATTTTTCACAAGAATTTTTTTTCTTTTATTTATTATTGAAAAACAAAAGCTTAACAAAAAATGAAATAATACGAAAATATTTTCAGAGATCATATTCAAAAAAAAACACAAAGAAGTTTATAAATATTTGAATTAATATAATTCAATATTCTTAGGATTTCGATGCCGATTCAGGTGTATCATCATTAAGACAATCATCTGGTAAAGGGGCTACATCTATATCACGAACAACTATAATAATCGATGATGAATTAGAAAATCCAGAAAATTTTCAAACAAAAAATTTTTCACATACGAATGCAAATGATTATGATCGTCGTGTATCAGATTTTTCATCTATGACGAATTTTACACATGGTATGGAATTTAATGAACTCTGTACGAATTCTCTAGCAAGTAGTCGTACATCAAGTATTAATATTCCTCCTCTACTATCATCAAAAACTAGTACGGCGTCAAAACAATCATCTAGTTCAACATTAACAAGAACAAATGTTAATGAAACAAAAGAAAGAAATGGTGTACGAAAACTTATACGAAAAATCTTTAAATCATCATCAAAAAATCAAGAAAATGCACGAACACTCGTATCTAATTCACCAAAAGGTCCACCATTAAATATCGATCTAAAACATGGTACAGCTTATCCACCATTGAGTCCGTTACCTGTTACACAAGGTCCAATACGTTTATTAGTACTTCGACATGGTGAAAGACTTGATCGATATTATTCATCACAATGGTTAAGACAAGCATTTGATAAAGATGGAAATTTTTGTCGTTTTTCACCTATTTTACCGTAAGTCTGTTCTAGAAATTTGTTTACTTGATTGTGTAATTGGGCACGAGACCTGATAAACATAAAATGAAAAACATCATAATGCAGTTAAAATGTCAATTATGTGTGAAAAAAAATATTTTATTTTACAATCGAGATGATATTCACAGTTTTATCAAGAAAATGTTCTATAACCTTATATAAAAATACCCTAAAATATGATAAAATAAGCAAATATATCTATAGGTTTATCTGTCTACTAAGATAAACCATTGAGGACATTCTAAGAAATCAATGAAATTGAACTGATTTATTCTTTTCGAAAAATTCTCTTCCTATTTATTAGAAATCTATTTATGTTATTCTTCTTCTCAATTAAATATAGAGAAACATTACCATTTCGTGCTTCGATTCGTGATTTTGATCTTGATCCACCTCTTACTTACAAAGGTCTCAAAGACGCCTTTCATACAGGTTAACATATTGATCCATATATTTTTATATATTTTTAATTGTTTTCTTTCTAATAGGAACTGTATTAAGAGAAAAAAGTATTAATATTAATTATTGTTATTCATCTCCAGCACTTCGTTGTGTTCAAACAGCTTCAAAACTCCTCGAAGGTTTACAATTACAGAATAAAATCAAAATTCGGTAAAGATTTTTCTTAATAAAATATATTTCAAAGATAACAAAAAAAAAAAAAAATGAATTATTGTTTCTTTGTTTTTAATAAAAGTATTGAACCAGGTTTATTTGAATGTACTGGTTGGTATACAACAAGTGAAACAAGCAGTATTTTAACAATGCCTAGATTTATGACAAAAAAGGAACTTTTAGAAAATAAATATTCTATTGATAAAAATTATCATGAACAAATGACGATGGTTGATATATCTCAACTTGAAAATGAATTAGAATTTTATCAACGTAGTCATGCTGTTACAGCAAGTATACTGAAAATGCATGAACACGAATATATTACACAAATACAACAAGGACAAAGTTCAACACAACAACATTTACATATTTTATTTGTCGGTATGATGATAATTGTTGCTGTTGTATTTTTGTTTCGTTTTCTTAAATAAAATATTCTTATTTAGCTCATGCTCCAAGTTTAGAAACATGTACACGTAAATTATGTGGTGGAAAATTTCGTCCAGATACATTACCACATGTTATTCGAAATGTTGATTTTCTTACAGTAAATAAATATTCTACGAAAACAAAAAATAAAAAAAACTTTTTTTTTTCTTAAAAATTCTCTTTAGATGACTGTCATTGAAAAAACGGATAACAATGCTGATAAATGGATATTTCGTCGAAGTTCATTTTATGGCGATGAATTTTAATTTCTTTTTCTTTTTTATTTCTGGTGATTTTTCTAAGAAATATATACAGATGATTTTGTGTAGAACAAAATGCTAGAAGTGAATTTTCATTTTTTTTCACTTGTGTTTTTTTTTTAATCTATTGTATTGATTGAAACTTATCTTTGTGTTTTTATTTTCTTATCTTTCAAAAAACAAAAACCAAAAAAAAGAAGAAATAAACGAAAAAGAAAAAGAACGATATATAGTTAATTTCATCTTTTAGATATAAATGCCGTCCATTTAATTTGTAATTGTTTAATATAGAATATATATATATACATATAATATACATAAAATGAACAATACAACGACAACAGCAAATACATCAATACCCATCACAAAGATGGTTAATGATCTATTTTTGCAATGGCTTTCATTATCAGATACACGTACTACACTTTATGCTGCATTGCAAAGTGTTCGAACAAATAGTAAAATGCCTGATTCTATTATATATCCAAAGGTTTGTGTGTAATTAAAACTAAAAATTTTTTACGATAGGAAGTAGAATATTTATCAATATATAGGATCTGCTCTATTTTTTTTGTGCTACATAGACTTATACAACACGGGGTGGTGGTTTTTCCAAGCCACAACATTTTGATTCACCACCTGTTTCGCCAGTACCACGAACAGCTTCAAGTCCACGTAGTGGTTTATCTTCGATTCCATCAACTGGCGAAAATACTTCTGGTTTAACTGGCAGTAGTGATGAACGGAAACAACGTTCATTAAAGAAAAAATATCCAATAGTCAATGGTGGTACGACTCCTAGTATTATTACGATCAGCAGCATCGATCAACAAGTAAGCTTTTTTTTTCCTTCTTTCATGCTTTGTCGCATTCGTAATAAGATAGTTATTGGTATCGCTAGAAGAAGAAGAAGAAACATTGGGATGTAACTGCCATGTATTCTTTTTTTTTTTTTCTCTTTTTCCATCTCTGTTATCCATCCATTACATCATATGTGTGTGTTGTACATGAGAAAAGAAAAATCTCTCGTCAACAAGAATCGTACCATTAGTCGTAGATATCCTCGAGAGAGAGAGCAATAGTCGGTGACAGCATGATAGAGAAGATGAGGAAAAAAAGAGAAAAAGAAGAATCGTCATATTCGTTGTTTGTTGATTTAGTATATCGTTGTGTATATGCATTGAGGATAGAAGAATGTTTGTAGGGTAAAGATCTATATTGATAGAGACAGACAGTTAACAAGAAAAAAAAATCCAGAGAGAGCAAGAGCGAGGTCAAAAAACAACTGATTTGAATAAATTAAAATAAGTATATGACAAATTTTTATTTTACTATTGAAATTTTATACATTTACTTTTTTTATTCTCTCATTGAGAATAAATACATAAGTAACAAATAATAGTAGAGTCTTAAAATATATTTGACATGTCTAGATTTTGCATCCAACACTGTCATATATATTTATATATATTCAGTTTACCACCTACGCAATGATTAGTCATACATTGGTATTTGATATCACTATATAGACTACGACTGTTGGCATATTTAAAAAGACGACTAGATACTTCATACAACCATTCATATTTTTTTCTTTTTCTTTCTTTTACTTTCGACATACTGTTTTTTTATTGCGAACATAACGGTCGAATTTTTTCTTCGTTTTTTTCTTCGATTTTGTTTATTTTTTCTTTCTACTTTCATCTTTAGCTCATTCATTCTCTCAACTCTCTCGACTCATAAATGAAGTAGTAAGTAAGAGGTGGGTCGGCACTCTTGTCGATTTTGCGGTTCGCCGACGTACACACATACAAAGCTTATCACAAGTGTTAAGCATTAAAAAGGAGAGAGCATACGAAAGAAAAAGAGAGAATAAGGGAAGAGATGGAACGAGTCAAAATGAATAACGTAAAAAAAAAAGGAAAAAAAGAAACAATTTGTTGTATGCGCATGTATATGAGAAAGAGAAGAATCAAACGAAAGTCATAAAGACAATCCTTCCTCTTACACTCTAGATGCTAAGAATATGACAGTGACCAGTGTACCTTGTCAGGTGGTCCGTTCGACCACACAAGTTTATTTCAATATACGAATTGATCAGAAACGCCGACGGGCAATACATTTCTGTGAACAGTGTCGATACTATGGCCGTTATTGTGATGCTATTCATAAAGGTAGAATAAAAAAAGAAAAAAGAAATCTAAAAATTTATTTTTTTTATTATCTGTCTCTCTGAGTCAGATAACAAAAAAAAAAAGAAAAGAACGATAAAAAAACACATATTTTTGAATCCATACAGGCTTTTGTCGACCTGTTTCGACACCATTGGCACGTATATCGATATCACCGAAAATTCCCAAATCACATATCAATTTCGTTTTTGAAAAACGTTATCCAGCTGAACAAATACAGCAACATATACAAGAACAAATTCGACAAAAATTTACCAATCCAGAGGCTATATGGCCACTTAAACCACAAGCAATAGTAGGACAATCTACTATACCCGATCAGCAACATCGATCGGCTTTCTTCATTTCTGAGGTAGTTGCATGACATATAGTTTATTTTATCTTATGGATAATTCATTAAGAAATCTATCATAAAATTTCGATAATACAATTTGAATTTAAGATTTTTCTTCTTTATTTTACTAAATTCTTTTTTTTCTATTTTATTAGGTATCCGGTGGAAAAGTTTCACCATCTCAATTAGCTAAATCAGAACCTTTACCAACTTCACCATCACCATCAACAAGTGTTATTCCAAATCGAATATCATCATCAACAACAAATACAACAATAACAACAACAGGTATACCATCAAATGGTACAATATCAAAAGCAACTCATCAAACACCTATATTACAACCTCGTTCACAGTCTCCATCAACGATTATTCGTGATTTATCACCAACACCAACATCACCTAAACCAACCGGTAGTGGAGTTGCTTCTTTACGTGAACATTTTGATATTGTTGAACATGCACCATCAATTACAAAAGCAAAAACTCCGTCACGAGCTAAATCACCCGTTTCACCAGTACTTACTGATAATGCTCAACGACAAACATCTATACCATCAAAAGCAACACCAACACCACCACCACCATCAACAACAACTACAGCAACTGTCAAAGACATTTTACCAATGCCAACGACAGTTATTAAACCTGAAGAAACATCGAAACCAATTGAAACTATTCCTAAATTTTATTTTCCTCATGGACCAACAACAACAATATCAGCTATTGATACATTGATTAATAAACAATTACGTCAAGCTAAAGAAGAATTATTTATACCAAAACATGATAAATTATATCTAGAAGATTTTGGAAAATTAGCACAAGTATGGAAAATAAAAAAATGATCATTTAGTTTTGGTTAAAAAAATTGAATAAAACTTATTTATTTTCTTTTAGTTAGTTGATTTAAGTTTATATTGGAAAACACCATTATTTCGTGCATGTGTACAAGAGTCACTAGGACCAAAAACAACCATAACATCGAATACAACTGTAACATATTCACAATTTGAATCTTTTTGGAAAACGTATTAATATAATTATTTTCAATAATTATGATTTACTAAAAATTTTTTTTCTTTAGATTATGTAAAAGTCATCATGATAATGCATCAAAATTTGTTCATCTAGTTGTTCTATCATCTCCATCATCATTACCAACTAATCGTCCATATTTAACAGTTGATGATTGGGATTATTTAATACAAGATATTATTGATACACATCCTGGTCTGAAATTTCTACGTGAAGCACGAGAATTTCATTCAAGATATATTAAAACAGTTATAGCTAGAATTTATTACAATTGTAACCGATCATGGTCAGGAAAATTAACTGTACAAGAATTAAGACGATCAAATTTTCTTTCGGTAAGAACTTATTTTTAGAATTCATTTTTTTTCAATTCGTCAAAGAATAGTTTTTGTTCAACTTAATACCAAGAACCATAAATATCTTGGTGCTAAAAATAATTATAATCTTAACAAATAAGTTCCATAAGATAATGATTGTTATGCGCTATATATATTTATCTCTCATATCGGATATCTAAGTGTTAATAAGTGTTGAGTTGTATAGAAAAAAAAAGAAAACGCTAGGCCCTCATTCATTATGACAGACATTTGTATCTGCTGTGATACAAATAACAACGGTGGAGTATTTCTATCATTCATCTCTTTTGACACTGATTGTAATGTATTATACTTAATGTATTGTTGCTTTTTCTTGTTGGACAAGTTCTCTATGAAAATGAATATTTTTTTGTTTATTTAAGACTCTCGATCGAATCGAAGAAGAAGAAGATATTAATCGTATTCATGATTATTTTTCATATGAACATTTTTATGTAATTTATTGTAAATTTTGGGAATTAGATGCTGATCATGATTTATTAATAAGTCGTGATGATTTAGCTAAACATAATAATGGCGGTAAATAATAATAGTAATAATTTCTAGTTAAATAAATATTATTGTTTTTTTCTTTAGCTATTTCAAATAAAATGATTGATCGTATATTTTCGGGTGCTATATCAAAGTAATTTATGAAATAGAATTTTTTTTCAATAAGAAAATATTTTTTTTGTTTGTTTTTGCAGTAGTCAAAATATGCGAGAAGGAAAAATGTCATATTATGAATTTGTATGGTTTCTTATATCTGAAGAAGATAAACGTTCACCAACAAGGTAAATATATATGTATGTTTCTAAAAATAATATTAAAAATTTTAATATTTATTTTAGTATTGAATATTGGTTTCGTTGTATGGATTTAGATGGTGATGGTGTATTATCAATGTTTGAATTAGATTATTTCTATCAAGAACAAGTACATAAAATGGAAATCTATGGTATTGAATATATGCCATTTGAAGATTGTATATGTCAAGTATGAATAAAAAAAAATAAAACAACAACCAGACTTTTTTCTTTTTCTATTAAATTATTCTATTTGAATTTAGATGCTTGATTTAGTTAAACCTGAAGAAGAAAATAAAATTCGTTTAAAAGATTTAAAACGATGCAAATTAACAAATGTTTTTTTTGATACTTTTTTCAATCTTGAAAAATATTTAGATAATGAACAAAAAGATCCTTTTTCAAATGTTAAAGTAAAAACTTGTTTTTTTTCTTTTTTCTTCATATTCATTTAAAACAAATAATCACATATATATAGGATCCAGATTCACCTGATATATCTGATTGGGTTAAATTCGCTGAAGCTGAATATGATAATTTAACACATGAAGATGGAGCCAATGAAAATCTTGACGATGTGTAAGATAAAGAAACACGAAATTAAAATTTGAACGATTCTTTATTTGTTTTTGTTTTTAATAACAGAAATTATGATGAAGATTTTGAAGATGAAGATGAGGGAGTTGCAGGACCTGTTATTGAACAACCAATAAATAAACGAATGGGTCTTGGTGGAAGTACTAGTGCTGTTTCACCACCACAACGACTTGGTTCAAATAATAAAAATGATATAGATGAACGATGGAAAGATTAAAATCTATCGAGTAGAACGATTTTACCCGTTCGTCTTTCTCTCGTTTACTCGTACTATTTTTTTTCATCTTTAACTGTCTTTTTTTTTTGTACTATCTGTTTTTTTTTGTCTCTGTAACGCAATCTCGAAAAATGTACGTCTATATCTATTCTGTTCTGTTTTTTTTTGTTTGTAAACAAACAAGAAAAACAATCAATGAACATTTCATTTGAGACAATTAATATATCATTATTGATAAAAATGAAAAATTCAAATATATTATTAACAAATATTGAAATCATATCTATTTCAATATTGTAAATAAACACGGTGGATCAAAAGTTTCTAGATAAAATATTTGACTTTTTTGGAATATAATGACGTACATCAGTTTTAGAGCACTTGTATTTTTTTAGATTTCTTCTCGATAGGGATAGCTAGAAGAAATTTGAAAAAACATTTGAAAAGCTAAAAGGATTCTATATCCGGATTTCTGAATCTGAAAACTCCAATAAAACTGACTGGATGAGGATGTATGGAAAACCAAGACTTCACAAAACGAGTTTTCTGGGATATATTTGAAGCTTTTTTGGGAATGTTTTCATTTGATAGAACAAAAATCAAATGTCTTGCCTCTCTTTATGACCTTCCTTTATCGAACTGAATTCAATTTAAAGAAGACCTAAGAAGTATTTATCTTTTGTTTTTTGAAAACCTTCAATGATTTCGCCGTGTTTGACACTTTGAGGTCTTCTATGAATTGAATGTAGTCGGATGAAGGAAGGTCATTAAGAGAATCGAGGCATCTGATTTTGCTCTATCAAATAAAACTATGTCCAACAGACTTTCAATGAATGCCAGAAAACTGGTTTTGGGAAATCTTGGTTTTCCATACATCTTCATTGAAGCAGTTTTTTTAGAGTTTTTAAGTTCAGAAATCTTGATAGAGAATACTTTTAGTTACTCAAAAGTTTTTTCAGGTTCTTCCTAATTATTACCATCGAAAAGAAAACTCAAAAAGATAGTTACTATGAACTTATGTCTGTCACGATATGTACTTAAAATTTTTCTGTGACTTGTAAATACTGAGCTATAAATAAATTTTGACAGAAGTCAAAAAACAAAATTTCTGAAGACAAATTTGCGTTGTGTAAATATAAAGTACTTGAGAATGATCTCTACTCTACAAAATGATACACGAATGAAGTATTTCGGTTAATTCGCTAAAAAATGGTAGCGTTTTGATGGACGGTCATTTTGTAAGGAAAAAGTGAACATCGGAAAAATAGTCATTTTTCTGACGATAGACTTTATAAAAGTCTTTACTGAAACTCAACAGTTTGGAAAAAGTGTATCGCTTTATAGAGAATTGTTTTATGTATCTTTCAATATATTCCAACAAGTTTCATTAGAAGTTATTTCAAAATTCACTAATAGCTCAAAAGTCACAGAAAAATTCTAAACATATATTCTGAAAGAGGACAAAATTGTACATCTAATACACTAACTATGCATTTTAAATATGCAAAAATTAGTCAAAGATTTTGTCTAGAAACTTTTTGTTCACTCCTTACATAGAAAAAAATTGTCGATTTTCACGCATATTTTTATTTATTAATGATATATTATTATTATTATTATTATATAATATCAAATGAATAGTATTACATTTTTCAATGATTGATTATTAAAAAATTCTATAATTTCACTTCGTTTATATTTCAGACTAAAATGAATCAGAATAAATGTAATATGAGGATTTTGTGCAATAATAGGTTTCAGACCATTCCAATGTGTATGTCCTTTATCATTTGATTGTTCACCATCTAAAAATGAACACTCACAAATAATAGTAGGTATTTGATCAAGTAAAACTTTAGCTGAATGAGATCCAGATGCAAAAACATCTGGTGTTGTATCGCCAAGAAAAGCAAATAAAGGTACATTAATTTGTTCTGATATATCTATGCCTTGTTGTTTTATTTCTTGAATTTGTTTACCATTTAAATGACTATAATCAGATTTAAGTTTCTTACGTTTTTCATAGAATATATAACCAACACAAGGAACTGTATGATGACAATTTATAATCTCAACACGATATAAATCATCTAAATCAATAATTTGTTTATCTAAAACACCATGTAATGTAAAACGTTTAGCACAAGTTGCTATAGCTTTCTCATCACCATGATCATTCAATAGTTGAGCACTAGTTAGATAAGTATTAAAATGAAATAAAGATTCATGAGGTACATAAATATCAAGTGGTATTGATGATGAAGCAGAATACATTAATGGAATTTGATAAGAATGATCACTATGTGAATGTGTTACAAAGAGACGTTGAAATTTAGTCGTAGTAACGACTGTACCAGCATCTAACATCATATTCATTTCGGGTACAAATAAAGCTGTTGCTTCACCTGCTCGAGAATAACCAGTGAGTGTAAGACGATTATTGAGAATTTTTATTGTTGTTAACGTATACATTATACTCGTATATCTGAATTTTGAATGGCTCTTTTGTACTGCAAATTGTAGCTTTTAAATACATGGTACAGTTCCATATTTCAAAGGCAAACAATTACCTGAATCATGACGAATAGTAATTGCGCAATATAATATTTTCATTGAGTCATTTCAGAGAACGCTGAAATATGAATTTCAAATTAAAGATCTAAATATATCTAGTTTTCGTCAATCTGAGTTAATCTATCTGTCATGATTTGTGTATTGTTTTTGATATACAAAACTATTATGGTTAGAATTATATGGCAATACAAGAGATTGTATTCATAAGAATACCAAAAAAATCATGTATAACGAAATGATGTGAATAATAGGAAATATTTATTGATTTGATAAAGTATGTATGTATCAACCAGACACTGACATTCAAAAAATGCGAATAATTTGAAAAAAATCTCTTTTTAAGTAAGAACATTTTGAAAATATTCAATTAAATAGTCGAAGAGGACATATATATTGCGAAGATATAAATATAAATTCCAAAACAATAAGAATTAGTCCATGATTCATGCAAGATAATAATCGATTATAAAGTGCGAACAGTAACTTGACGAAGTAGATAAGTAAACAAAATAAAAAATAAAAATGGACAATAAACAATGTAGTCACAATATATTATTAATCATAATTGTGTAGTCGAAATAAAAAAAAAGAAAAGTTGTTCTCTTATCTTCAATTTAGAACTGTCTATTTTAAGCAATTTGCCTTGGCTATGACAAGTTCAATGGCCTATTTAGGCCTCTGATGTAGAAAGTGGTAGATTCAAGAACACAAAGCAAAGTTTTAGGTGTTTTTAATAAACTCGTAATTTAAATTTTTGCTTAAAAAAAGTCTCCCTTTTTTTGCTCTTGAGTACATACTATGTATAGAATAATAACTCCTACGTCAAATCAGTTCTTGAACATAATCCAGTATACAATATCTTTTTCATTTATATTAGTTTGCTTTTATGTAATGTGAAAATTGTCATCATTAGAAAATTTATCACTTTCAAACTCGCATTATTTTTAGATCCAACATTACGACGACCGTAAAGAACCGTATACTAAAGTCTACGATGATATAGAAGCACGCAATAGCCCAATATATGACCGTCTACAAGCCATATATGAATTTTTTGGTAAGTTCAGGTGGGGCGAATATGAAGTCTATATACACTTTTTAATGAGTGCATACATTCTTCATTTCGCTGCATATGATTGTATTTCACCGTATTACATGGCTCAATATTACGATAGTTTATCTTCATGACCGTATACGAAGCAATACAATTATATACGGAGAAGAATCAAGCAAAACAGAGATCGTATATGGCTTCCCTGTACAAAGAGAGCAAGCGATCAGTTTTTTCTTCGTAGATCACCATATACGACAGAGAGACATACGATCATAATAACTGAGTCATATACATTGTCGTAGTTCTCCGTATACCATCGTTTACGATCGCACGTGCTTTGCCTATAAGGAATCCATTTCGGCATTATGTCGTCGTGTCGTTTATGACGAAATATGTACATAAGTTAAAGTGTTATACATGTCATAAAACGGTAGTATATCCGAAGGATACGACGTTATAGCCTGACGTTTATCATTATATCTCCCCATAAACAATCCTACACAATTGCAATGAAACGGAAATAGCTTCCATCAGTGAAGGATTGTTTCTGTACATATATATCACAGTAATATCTCTATACCTATGGACTTATACCTTTACATCTCTGCTCCTTATGACTATAGCCGAATGCGAATGTTCTTTGACCCTTAGTTTTATCATAATGTCCTTAGACCTGTATCATTTACCTATGATCGAAGACAGTTGACACTTTAACATATTTATTAGATACAATGTTTGTCGGAGTATAAATTGAGTTAAATGGTTAAATCAATTTACTGTATTTTTTTCTATTGAATAAGACTGATTGTTGACGATAATGGTTATTTAAAATGAAGTGCTATAGAAAACGAAACAACTTTCAATAAACTATTTACGATTGATGCATACGGCGGCTTACAGTTGCCGTGTTTTCATGCTAGTTATAAACGACAATATTTCACGGGCACTGTTTACAATAGTCGTAATACACAGTAAAGTGTCGTTTATAGTAACTATAAACGGCCACCGTAAAAATGTTGTCGTTTTCAATTTTAATTGGTTGTTATACAGTTATAAACAACTGTGAACGATTGACTTTAGTTATAGCATTATTTGAATTTAATATCAAACATAAATTGTTTTGTGTGCTTTTCAATTTTAATTTACTATCTATTCATTTTGATTGTAAATAATGATCAAAGTAAATCAATGAACGGTTTTGTTTCTTGTCCATACTTTAAATTTACAAGTATTAAGTATAAATACTTAGAATTTTTTTTTTTTTGAGTTTATTATCTTGTTTTAATTATGATTATTTGACAAGTTCATTGAATTTTTTTAATTTCATTTAAAGAAAAGAAAATATTCTTATCTTTTTGAAACTCTCAATCAATAATAATTATTTCTATTTTTTCTTTTTCACATTCAATATTAACTTCATTACATTCGTCTAGGATATATATTAATCATTTCAGATAGAAAAAAAAAAAAAAAGAAAACAGAATCTACTATACATGATTCTATTGATCATGATTTTATTGACATTAGTCCTTCAAACATAAAAATTGAATAAACGAAGATTTCATTAATAATCTATTGACACCTCAGGTTATACTTCAATATGTTATTGTTCAAGTTTACACTAGAACAAAGAATCTATTGTCCGACCTAAAATAACATATTTATTGCATTATACAGACAGTCACGTTCATTTTCTTTTTCTTCATTTCAATTTTTACTTGTTCTTCACAGATATAAATGTCAAAAAATCCTTCTAATTCATAGATTGGAAGTAATAGCCAACTTCATTCTCTCCGTCTTCATTACACACGCAGGTGTCCTTCAAGTTCGTGAATGCATGTTATGTACTACGACTGCATGCATAGTGAAGGTAATGAAGAAAAGAAAAAAAAACAAGCAAAAAAAAAAAAAAAAAGAAAAAGGAACCGTTTGCATTTGTTTTGCCTGATGGTATTTTTCTTCTCTGATTGAATCACTTTCAGTCTAGTGTTTTTTAGTTAATAAAATTATAAATGATTTGGTGGATCAATTGAAAAATGTATCAACAGGTAAACAAAAAAAGACTGGAAAGACTCATATCCTTAGCAACATAGTCCAATTGTTCGTTTCATCAACTTTTATTCTATGTTGCAATGAGTAAGATGACCGCAGACATAGGTTAGAAATGACATGTATGTTCGTGTGACCATACGCTAAGAGGAGGGGAAAAAAAAAGAAAAAAAAAACGTAAGACAATCGGTAGAACACAAAGAATGAGCGAATGAGAAAAACTGTCTACTGAACAAACGTCGCAAATTGTTTTCTTCATCCAGTCGAACGTATGTACATTGCAAAGTAAACGACCGTTGGTCTTGATTGATACAAGCAGACACCAAATATGCTTGTTCTTGATCCATTGAAACGAGCATTAGTAGGAGAAACATCATCAGACAATAATCAAGTGAGAAAATATTTAAAAAAATTATTTTTTAGTTTAATTTTAATACGAAGTTGATAGTTTTAGCCTTGAATATTATACGTATAGTAGAAAAAAAAAAGAAATAAAAACTAAATTACCACGTACAAATATTTATTGATAGTATTGAGAATAATACATATTTGAAATGAATACTATTTCTTAATGTGTAATTGATCTATTATTTAAATAGGTTATAGATATTTCATTTGCATTTATCGTATGTTTTAAATTTACTCCAAGAAAAACAACAAAGAATTATAAAGGTTTTTTTTTGTCCTATTGGAATTATCAAATTACTTTTGTCTAAAAGTCATTTCGACCATTTTAAATGAGCTGACCTTTTCAGTTTTTTTTTTTTGTATTCGTTTTAGTTGTCGATATAAGATAAATTGAATTCTGAAATTTTTAATTTTATATCGACTTGCTATTCTATTCTTTTATATTTTTCTATCGAATCAAAACTCATTTAATAAATTATATTTGAACAAGATTAATGCCCTAGTCAATGTTCAATAGCAAAGAAAAAAAAGATATGTTAGGTTTAGTATGTCTACAATGAAAGTAGAACTCATTAGATTGATCAGATGTCATTATTAAAAAGAACGAAACTAGAATATCACTGATTTATATTGTTTATTTTAAACCATACATCATTGATTTTTGTTTAATTAAACATTAGTAAAACTTATCTAAGGTTGAAAATGAATAGAGTATCAAATTACTGAGATAAAAAAAACAAACGTTTGATATTAGTTGAAGAGAGTAAAAAAAAAAAAGTTCACGTTCAGATAAAACAAATCGCAAATTTAACTAAACCATATAATTATGAAAGTTAATCATATAGTATAATTCATAAAAGTAAAGCATCCAATTATTCTTTTTAAATGATATTATGATGCACAACAGATAAGATCAATATTCATGGTATTAGAATAATTGATATGCATTTTGAATTTAAATTAAATAGATACCCAATACAACAACTCGCATATCTCAAGATTCGAGAGGTATTGTTCAATTGCCATCACGTGATGAAGTACCATCAGTAACAGCTAGTATAGATCATACCAAAAATGAACATAATCAACAACTATATATCAATACCTATCCTCAATATGATCCAAATTTGAGTTATCATGGTTATGATCTAAGTCGAGATGTATCTGAATATCGATTTGGTATTGACAATAGTCATAATCAACAAAATGCAATGGTAAATAATATTCGATTAGAATATTAAACAAAAAAAAAATAGATAATATTTAATAATAATAATATATAGAATCGACCTGTGCCAGCTCCGAGAAAAACTCGTTCAAATCATAATTCTCAAAGTGATTTAACTAAAAGCAAAAATGGTCGTGAACAATGGTCAGGTCGTTTTGATTTTTTCTTTTCAAGTCTTGGCTATGCTGTTGGTTTTGGTGCTGTTTGGCGTTTTCCATATTTATGTTATCGAAATGGTGGAGGTAAAACAAAACAAAAAAAAAACTCAATTTTAAATTTCAAAATAATTAAATTTCTTTTTCAGGTGTTTTTCTTATACCATATATTATATTTTTATTTCTTCTTGGTATTCCATTATTTTATCTTGAAGTTAATCTTGGACAATTTACTTCATTAGGTCCAGTTCAATGTTGGAGAATGGCACCAATCTTTAAAGGTAAATTTAAAATTCAAAACAAATAAACATTTTCTTGACTTAAAACAAATCTAGGACTTGGTATTTCAATGAGTTTAATGTCATTTTTTCTCACAGTTTATTATGCTATGTTACTTGCTTATTCAATTCTTTATCTTGTACTTTCATTTCGTTCAAAACTTGAATGGACAACATGTGGTTCATGGGCAAGTGCAAGTATGTAATTGGTGTTTTATATATATATATATATATAAGTTTACTTTTAAATGGATTTTAATAGATTGTACAGATGATTTTTCTACATTTATTATGCGTTGTAATTATGAAAATACATATAAAGATCCAAATGGTCGCTGTTATACATGGACAGAGCAAGGTTTAACACCAATCGGTTGGTGGAATGTACAAAGTCGTATACAATATCGAAAACCTGTCTTACCAACGGATGATTATTTCAAGTAAATAAAGATTTTTTGATATAGTCTTTTGTTTTAATTTTTCGATTATTATTATTATTTTTTTTCTTTTGTTCAGTAATTATATATTAAATAAATCACCAGGTATGGGTTTTATATCAACAATGGAATGGCCACTTGTATTATGTTTATTGGGAGCTTGGATTTTAGTTTTTGTTTGTCTTTGTCGTGGAATAAAAAGTTCAGGAAAAGTAAGAAAGAAAAAAGAAAAGGAACTATTTATTTATAACTTTACAGTAATATAATATTTTTAGTTAAGACTATATGTAAGTATGATTAGAATTAGCGGGGCAAATTTTGCATGTCAATAGGAGAAATCTTTTTATGATTCGATATTGTATGCTTATTATTGATCATTTTGTTTATTGAAGTTCTTTTTTTCTAGTGAAAAATATAAAAGAAAAAACAAATAAATAATTGTTTTTCTATATCTATAGGTTGTTTATTTTACTGCCGTATTTCCATATGTTATTCTTCTTATTCTTGGTATACGTGGTTGGACATTACCGGGCATGTCGCGAGGAATTTATTTTTATATGAAACCTGATTTAAGTCGATTAGCGGATCAACGTGTATGGAATGATGCAGCAAACCAAATATTCTTTGTTCTATCTGTTTCATATGGTGGTTTGATAACATTGTCGAGTTATAATAAATTCAATCGACGTACACTTGGGTAAAAGAACCCCAATGATTTTGATTCCATAATAATTTTATCTTTTGTTTTCTAGAAATGCATTAGTTATTTCAATAACGAATGTATTAACTTCAATATTTGCTGGTTTTGTTATATTTGCATATTTGGGTTATTTGTCTTATGTAACAGGACAAGAAGTTAAAGATGTTGTATCAGAAGGTAAGCACATATATATATATACATATATTTCAAACCTAGATTTGTTTGATATTTTAGGTCCTGGTCTTGCATTTATTGTTTATCCTTACGCAGTAACGACACTTCCAGGAGCACCATTTTGGTCAATACTTTTCTTTTTTATGTTAATTTTACTTGGTCTTGATTCAGTGGTAATAAACTATAAAGTTTTAACTATGAAATACAAATTTATATGAATTTGTTTCCTTTTTTTTTATTCTAGTTTGCTAGTGTTGAAACTATTGTTGTCGTTATAACAGATCAAATTCATTCATTACGTCGATATAATATATTTGTTACACTTATTGTTTGTATATCTATGTTTGGACTTGGTTTACTTTTATGTACTGATGTAATTAAGCAAAAAAAAGTTTAAATTGTAGATTTTATTTATATTATTTTTAAATATTCTAGGCAGGAATATATTGGATAACATTTTTAGATCAATTTACTGGTTCTTATCCAGCCTTTGTTATTGGTTTACTTGAATGCATTTGTATCGCATATGTTTATGGTTTGTTTTTCATTTATCTTTTCGTAATCATGATTAATCTCATAGATTCATAGAAAAAGATCTGATTGAGATGTTTAATTATAAGAAAATTTCTATATAAATTTCCTAGGAGGTAATCGTTTTCGTGCGGATTTAAAAGCAATGCTTGGTTCAAAAGATTGTGGTGTACGACTTTATCGTATGTTTCAAATATGTTGGTTATTTATAACACCAATGTTAATCATTGTATGAAAAAAATAAATTAGAAAATATTTAAATTTATTTATAAATTCTCGAAAATATTTAGGCATTAATTATATTTACATCAATAAATTATCCGGCACTTAAACTTGGACGTTATAATTTTCCTACTTGGTCATATAAACTTGGTTGGGGTTTAACAGGTTTAATTTTATCTGGTATTGTACTTTATGCAATATATGCTATTATATATTTATTACTTGTAAAACGAAAAGTAAACTAAAGAAACAAATTTATGAATTCATTTGAAATAATATTTATTTATTTATTTTTTTTTTTAGTCATGTCGAGCTTTAATTAATCCAGAACGAAAATGGGGTCCTTTATTAGAACAAAATCGAAAGAAGCTTAGTTATTACTATAGTGGACAACAAGGAGCTCTTGTTTCACTATTTGATCGACTTACGAAACGAACTCAATCACGAGCAACATTAGACAGATCAAATGTAAGTACAATACGATATTATTTAACTGACGAGGGATAGTCTTCAAGTGTAATTCTTCGTTTTCAATTAGTTTTATGCTAGTTTGTAGAGTTTGATGAGCTAATTACGCTTGGTATAATGCGTTCATTTATATAGATTGTCTTTAAAACGTTAGGTTGATCTCAAGTTCAAAAAAATAACTGTAAACTGTTAGTTTACTTCTCAGCATTGAAAGCTTAAACAATGGATGAGCTTTAATTGACTGTACAAATTCACACAATTAATATAAATAGAAATTCTAACTGCATCTAAATTTTGAGTATTTTAATATCATTAAAGCTGTGGATATACGAAACTCAACTATTGTTTTTTACAAATACATGTTGATTATGTTACAACTAACCTGATTTGACTATTGAAAATAGTATATCTGACAAGGTTTTAATTACTACATCTTTAAAATAGTATTCTTGGAGAGTCTTTATTAGTTTCGAGACAAAAAAAATAGTTGAGCTCCATACATTCATAGTATTGACATATTCAAAAGCGTATATTGTATGAATGTGTACACTTCAATTAAGTCTCATCCAGTATTAAAGTTTTCAAAGCTGAATATTAAACTAACATTAAAATCAAAATTTTCGAAAAAAACAACAACTTACAATAATTTTTCTGAAGTTGAGATCGACCTAAGTCCTCAAAGACAGTCTATAGAGAAGAATGCCTTAGGCCATCGTGATGAGTTCATTGAACTTTATAAACTGACATAAAGTTGATTGAAAACGGAGACGTTTCCTCGTGAACTCTAGAAAATTTTCCTTTGTGAATAACATCCAATATATATATGTCTCTATGTCTAGCCATCAGGATCATTATTACATGATGATCGGTAAGATAATCTGTTTGAATGTGCTTACACTGCTTATATACTCTTTTTATGCTTATCTCAAGCTTATAAAAACATTACTATTCGATAGAAAATCATACGATTGATGATTATTTTAGAGTATCGATACCAGTATCAATGAAAAAGAAGAATCAATTTCCACCACACGACCACCGAGTCGAATCGGAAGTGAATCTGCTGTTTGATTCTAATCAACAACGTTATAATGGTTTTCCTGTATGAACACTTTTTTCTTTTTGTAAACTTATACTTTGTGTAATAGAATATAAATAAAAAATAAATAAATAAAATAATGTTAGTAATATGTAAGAACACCTTGATTGGTTAATACCGGTTGAAATTTCGCATCACGAGTATCATTAGTATATGTATTATAATCAAGTTCATCTGCTCGACGACCCATAACACTACGTTGTTCAAGATATCGACTGAGTGCTTCGGCAAATGGTAATGTAATACTTCGATTCCAATATGGCTTTTCAATTTGTAATAATTCTCGAACACTCTTTGCAATTGACTAAAAAACGAAAAAGAAATCGATTTTATTATCCTGCTTTACGTTTATGCTTACACATCTGTTAAAACTGTAAGAATATTCTAGTTCCTATAACATGTGGATAGGTGTGCGCGTTGTCTTCACTCTCACTATACATCCTAAAGAGTCTAAAAGAACTAAATGGTGAAAAATATGAAAGTTACAGTAACTTGAAAAACATAAAAGTCAAACGCGATAAGTTTAAACTCTCCTACATTCCTTTCTAAAGCTCAAAATAAAATATTATTATTGGTTGAACTTAAATTGAGTTTTGTGAAAGAGAACTATATATGGTGGGTAGATATTTACTAGGTCAATGGTTTGTTTTTTGTTTATTAATAACTTAATACTCATAGTCCACGAGTAAGATTTATCAATTTGGGCTTAGCTATGAAGGATTTTGATTGAAGTCAAAGCAAGATGTCAAAGAACTAAAAATTGCAGTTAGTTAAAAGTAAAAACTGAACGTATAAAATTCCTTAATTATTTTTATGAATAAATTTTCAAAAAAAAATTATCGAAACTAAATTAAACAACTTTCACATTTCGGAGTTTATGTTTGAAAACCAGACGATATGATTTTCTTACCAATATATGTTTAAAATCTTGAACACCAAGTGCACTTAAATGTGATGCATCACACCAAATTAATCGACGTCCATCAACTTTATTTCGAAGAAAACATTCCTGAACAAAGGTCTTTTTTTACATAAAACAAAGAAATATTAACAAATTTGTAAATCATACTCGATATTGTGGAAAACCAAGCATTTCAATAAAATCTGCTACTTCATTACATGACCAATAGACAGCAGCTGAAACTTCACCAGATTCTATATCACGTGTTTTTGTACGTTCTAAGGCATTATTATCTTCAGTTCGAGCGAGTTTTCGCATATCAGCCATAGTCTTTGCCATATTGGCCATTTTGAAGAATTTTTATTTTTTATTGAAAACTAAAATCTAAAAATAAATAGGAAATTACTCATACAGAACCCCTTAGGTTGTGAAAGGAAATTTTTGGAAGGTAGATAATCCATTCTTTTTTTTTTCTTTCAATAACACATTCTTACATTTAAAAATCCCACAAAACTAATATTGAATTAGTTAAAATAGCTGCATGTAATAATATGTTCAACATCTAGGGATTTCAAGCCCTGAACAAACCAATACTTATGCAAAAAAAAAAGAATTTTTCTATGGTAACAAATACTATTTTACTCCAATGTTCATTTCATGTGGTTACCTTTATAGAATTTAATTTATAAATTGGCAGTATCGCTGTTGCTTAGTATCATCCTTCGTTTTCTTGTCAAAACTAACAATGATACATAGCGACATCTATTATTTTAAATCTCAAAAGTTTTTTAAAATTTATTTTTTTATTACATTTTTATCTTATTGAAAAAATAATAATCATCTTTATTTAACTTTATCGTTTTTTTTATTTATATCATACTCATTCAGTTGGATATTTTCAACAAAGGCGCATTCTTTCTTCGAACAGAGTCTCTGTTCTCTATTTCAAAGCATCTCGTTTCTTGTATTGATCGATATGTTGTAAAAAAATAATCATCTTTTAGATCTCCTTACTTTTAACCTAAAACTAATGGAGGTCAATACAGCCGTTAATTTTAAAGCACGATTACAACGTTTAATAGCTTATCAAGATGTTTTTGTACGTAATAATCTTTTAGCACAACGAAGTTGTGATCAAGGTTTGTTTGTAAAAAACAATAAAAATTTTTTATTAATTTTTTTTTGTTATTTAAACAATAGAATTTAGTGCTTTTCTTAAATTTCACAATGATCTTCGTCGTAAATATGCTGATTTACGTGCATATAGTGAACAAATGGATCGATATGTTGAACAACATCGAACAGAACTAGCGCGTAAAGATAAAAAAATTCAATCACAAAGGTATTAACAAATAAATTATCATTACAAAATTTCATATATATATATGGTTTATTTTAGTTCACAAATTCTTCGTTTAACTCAACATAATAAACGTAGTAATGAACGTTTAAATGAATTACAACGTTGTTTAGATCAAATTAAAGGTACAATAACAGGACAAAATACATTTGATCAATTACGTGATATACTTCGGTATGATTTTTATGAAAATTTTACATTATTTTTCTTACTGTAAGATTTTTATTTTAAAGAGATTCTGTTATGTCAGATAGTGAAACAACAACAGATTTATCAGATAAGAATTGTACCGGAGAAGAACTTGACTCAGAAAATTTACATAATTTACCTAAAGTTGTTAGTCAATCAACAGGTGTTGGTGGTGTAAAACGACCTGTAAATTCCGTTGATCCAATTGATTTGAAACGTCCAAAACATGATGAAGTAAAATACAAGAATTTTTTTTTTCTCTAATACAAACAATTTTGATTCTTTTTTAAAGTCATATCCAATCGGTCGTATAATTGCAACAACAACAACAACAGTTGATATGAATGATTTAAATAATGGACCTGTTGTAATAACATCAGAAATTCATCATGAAGACGAACAACATCGAGCAACACCAAATATAGCTGATCAATTAGGTGCATCACCATATTCAAATATAACCGTTGGAAGAGTTCAAACAGGTCAATATTCATCACCAATGCGTGTACCAAATCGTCATTCATTATCAATACAAAGACCAACACAAAAAGTACGAAAACCATCAAAACAATGGCTTGAAAATAAATCAGGTATAACTAATAAAAAGATATTAGCATAATTACTGTACCATTAAAATATAAAAGATAATATAGTCGCCATTGCTAATCACAAGAGATTGCTGCATTTTATCTCTTTACGATCCTTTTACTTAGACCTTCGAATATACAATAAGAAAGCAGTTCAAATATTGGAACGAGATATTATCGATAGGTGGTCTGTAATCGTGTGTCTATGTCTATTAGAGTCTCTGGCAAGTGTTGTGTAGGTGGGGTTCGAAATATCTACTGTAGAGATGAACACTTCTTTTCGATTGTGTTTCATAAAATATTTTCATTGAAAAACTAATATTCTAGAGGAATCTGAATTAAGTACTGATGATATATTTTGGACAAAACATGATGAAGATCAGCAACAACAACAACAACAATTTCAAGCTTCAATTTATCCGCCATTACCAAAATTAACAAGTCCACCATCACAACAACAAAAGACTCTAACACCATCAACACCGATACAACAAATTACAACACCAACTAGTTTAATGAAATCAAGTTCGTCTAGTATTGGTACATTACGTGCACGTGCACATAATTTTATATCAAGAAATATTCTTATACCAGAAACATGTTGTGTTGTATGTACATAAAGAAAAAATGAAATGTTTTTTTTTTTTTGTTTTTCATGAATCTAATTAATTGATTTTGTCTAGTGTTTAAAACGAATTCATTTTGGTAAATTAGCTTATCGTTGTCAAGCATGTAGTGCTCTGTGTCATACGGGCTGCAAAGAAAATTGTTCAACACTTTGTTTACCTAATATTAAAACACCAAATCGTGGTGCTGTATCGAAATTTACTTCACGTGAAACAAATCAATTACAAGTACCTGCTTTACTTGTACATTGTATTAAAGAAATTGAACAACGAGGTTTACAAGAAGTTGGAATCTATCGATTAAATGTGTACGTATATATTTATATTTAACAACACTGTTTTCCTTTTATTAATAAAAATAAGTATTATACATATACTGCGAAAGATACACAGGCAACAGGAGCGATATTTCGACACTAAGATAAGAACAAAGAATAATTTGAAAAATAAAACAATACGTACTTTTTATTTCAATTGACCAACATGGAGAAAAATGGAATAAAATCTCTTCAAAGATCAAATTAGCTTTTCGGATGAGAAAATCTGGATAAAACATTGCAATGTTCTCTTCGAAATGCCTTCAATCAGTGCTTAACATATATAGTCTATATGAATGTTTCTATGTCTTTTATACTGAGTCACCGATCCACAATCCTGGTGACCTCAGAACATTTCTGAAAACGAGGACATATCATATTTTTATATTCTTAAATATATAAAAGTATATTATTTATTTTTCGTCAAATAATAAACTAATCTGAAAATATTTCTATATTAAATAAAATAATATTTTTTAGTGTTGAAGGTCAAGTAAAAGAACTTAAAGAACGTATACTTAAATCACGTACAGGTTTATTTGATTTATCACATTATAATGATATACATTTAATTTGTGGTGTAGTAAAAGATTTTCTTCGTTCATTATCAGAATCATTATTAACAAATGCATTATGGAAATCATTTGCAGTTGTTATTGATGAAGAATCAGATTTTATTAAACAACAAAATTTTGATTCACTTATACAACAATTACCTAAACCAAATCGTGATACATTAGCATTTATGATTCTTCATTTACAACGTGTTGCTGTATCACCATTATGTCGAATGCCTATACTTAATTTAAGTCGAACAATGGTAAATATATACGAAACGAAAAAAAAAAAAAAAAATCTTAATCATGTTTTTTTTTTCTTTTTTTTTTTTTATATAATAGGGTCCAGCAATAATTGGTTATTCATCAAAACATGTATCTGGTATTGATATTGTTGGTGAAACATATAAACAAACAAAAATCTTAGAATTTTTTCTTAAAATGTCAACTGATTATTGGTCAAAATTTTTGCTTGAAAATGATGGTACTGAACCATCAGCACCAATTAATAATAAACAACATATAGGTACACCTATACTAACACGTCATCATCATTATCAAAATACACCTCCGACAACTTATCCAACACCAGCAAATACATTCTTTTCTCCACTTTAAAAATAAATAAATCTATTCGAAGAATTATTATAAATTAACGTCGATCTTTTTTTTTACTTTATTGTTAAATATCTTATCTGTAATATTTGTTCAAAATTCTCATTGTTCATTCTATTCTCCCCCGAAATGTGAGCGTTTCTTGTGTTGTAGATTTTTTTTTTTTTTTGTCTTATTTGGATGTTCGTATATATTATACTAGAGAATTCACGAAATAAAACAAATCATATGTGTAGAAAAGAAAAGCAAGATAATCTTTTGTAACGATAACAAATTGAGTCATGTAAAATAATTGATGATCTTGAAAATAAGTGCAGAAATAACATTGCTAATTCAATTTTCAATGATAATAGCTATTAAGAGTAATAATATACAGTGTGTGATAGAAAAAACAGACATCAAGACACATATTCCATTATGAAAATAAAATGAGAAGAAATCTTGGTAATTTAATTACTGATTCGTATCATAATAAGAACTTTTCATGCCATGGAAATAGTTATTTGTTATTATTGACAAAGATGAATCTACTACAAGCAACAACAAAAGAAGTCTATCAGATCAATCATTTTCAAGGTATTTTTACTGATTTTCAATATTACGTACATCATTAATCTGAGTAGAACATGTGCGACAACTAAGGAGTAATTAGGTTTTTTTTTATAGCTTCTTTAATTTAGTGTTTACTCGTCCTTCTGGAATTCAAATAAGGAAATCTATAACAAATACAATATTGTAGAAGTAATATCAAGACTAACTGATGTTATTATGCAAAAAAACTATTTGAATGAGAAACTCGAAAATCTCTTCCCTTTCTTCTGACAAGAAGCTAGTCGTCATTTCTTATTCCGTATTCATTTCTATCATATATAAAAATTTATCAATTCATGCAAATCTCCTCCTACTATAGGAAATATCTTCGAATCTTACTTGACCAATAGAATTTCATCGTTTTACGATAGAAAATTTCGCTGAAAAGGAAGAAAAAACAAAATTTTATCAACGGAAATAATTATTTCAATAGAGTAATTTCCTATTATGCCCAAACAAAATGTATATCTATTCATTTACTGACAAGTTGCATGTTTAGCATATTTTAAACACAACTAACATACTATCTTTGAGAAAGAAAGGAAAATCTAACAATTTAGTAATGATAATAGATTGTATTTAGTTTTAGATTCTCTTTACTTTGTTTCATATAATTATGCTCAAAATGCACTCATAATTAAAAAAAGATTAACAGAAAATCTTTCTCTTCAGACAAAAAAATTATACTAAAGATTTTGATTTTCTATTTCATATTTCTGTCTCAAAATGTTGCAATGGTTCACAAATTTCCTCAATGAAATTTGTTGACAAGTGTGGTATCTTATTTATATGAAGAGTAACAAATAGAAGTCGCATTTTTCAGTACCTTTCGACATAGACCAGAATGCTACTTATATCGTATGACTTCGAAGATTAATGCTTATTTTCAACTGGCTAACATTCGAGAAATCGTTCTTGTCTATTTAAATATTCTCAATTGATTGCAGTCTAAACACAATAAAGATAAATTATGAACTGGTAAATAACGAGGATTGATATAGTGCAACAAAGAAAATTTATTAAAGTTACAACTAAACACAATGACTCCTGTTGAATAACGCGACATGTATCTACGATATACCACATATGGATACTATTGAAATCGTAAACAAAGAACAAAACTATTAATTACATGAGCAGAATACTGATCATGTTGGTTAATCGAAACACAATACCAATGTGACAAATGAGAATTGAACAATTACTTACAGATGAATCTTTGTATAATCAACTTCGATTGTAAGATTATTACATATTTTCTTACTTATGTAATTAGTATACAAGATAATAGTATTTCCATTAAAACAGATTGTAAGGTCCGCAGGGATGCACTTATGTTAAAGAGATACATGAAAGATGAATAGAAATTTCATGAACTTTGTTGAATATTTAAAAAAAAAGATTTCTTATTACTACTTGGTAAAACTAAGAGTATTTGATTAGACAATGTAAATTCTTCTAGATTTCTTTCCTCTTGTAAAACAAGTCTGCTTGAATATTTACAGAAGCATAAGTCAATATGCAGCTTGCTACAATGTAAAGATATCGCTAATTCTCTTTTTTTCCTGCATTCATTCCTCGTTCACAAATAACTCGTCTTTTACATGACTCCTCTCTTACAAAACCTTTATCTTATTTGTTTTTAATAAATTTTTGTGAGCAATCATTGATTATTTATTCAAATTCTTAGTTTTCGTTCTTACGTTATACTTAATAAACTTTATGTCGAGTAGTTTTGCATATTGAAATTAAAGCGAAGACAATAAAGTTCATGTTTTCTTAAGATTATATACCTTTCTGTTTGTAAAAGTTCCAGCGAATAGTTATACAACAAGTGCAAAAGGTTAACTTGTCTTGCTGTTATTTCTTTTCTAATATAATGCAGTATCGAAGTTATGATCAATCTCAATGTTATAATCATCACCAAGTATATACTATCACTTATTGCTCTTTCTCTTCTAACAGCACACAATTAAGCGAAACTTGACATATTCCATTGTTTTGTGTTGATAAGTTCTATATGAAGAAATATTTGTGTGGAAATGTCGATTCCTTATGATTTTCATATGAGAAGAATTGCGTCTTATCTTTTTTTTAACTTCTACAGCATAGAATAGAATCGAAGACTCATGAGACCTGTAATGAAAAATTTTGTTCAATGGTCATGACAGCTGACGACAAAATCAATCATTTATATGGATTGACAGTAAGGGAAAAAGCAACAGACTAAGACATTACCGTCACTGTCAATAGGCAATCCATAACAGGAATGTCCCACAAATCTAAGAGCAAAAAGGACAAGAAAAAAAATGTCTCTCAAGCCAATCAAATAAAACAGTCGACAAAATGGTTTTTTTTTCTCTCTTTTTTCATGTTTACAACGTTTCAATGTATTATTTTTGGAAAATTTTTATAGAGATAGAAACCTTTTTTTGTTTTTTGACATGTTATTAATATTTTAGGAAAAATGTAAGTATTTTTGTTAATAAAGTATAAATTCTACTCAATGAATATGAACCTTTTTTATTTGAATAATACGATGTATAGAAGGACATTTCATTGTAATACGTTCCCATAAATACTTTTCAATCAAGAAAAATAGAAAGGCAGATTTAAAATTCATGAACGTATCGAATTCTAATCTATCTATTATAGACTCTTTCATATTCCGAATTCACTTTTTTTTTGTGTTATAACTTCCTATTTTTTCTTTTAGGAGCCGACATGATAATAAACATTTTTCAATAAACTAAAATTATATTGACTTCATAGGAAAATTAATTTCTTTTATTGATCAACTTATTATATTTAAATTTAGTTAATATTATAATAGTGCATATGAAAATTAATAGTTAAACTGAAAAGTTTTTTTTTTAGTATGATCATTAATTCGAGTAACAATTATTCTTTTCATCTTCTTCATATGGTAATCATTGGAAAGTTGAATGCAAATTATAAACGAGAATCAGTGTTTTATATAGAATAATCAAGGTAAAAGCTTTTTTCAAAGAATTTTTACTCGAGTAGATTAGCTATCGTTACAATTGATAGATTAAAATATTTAATAATATTATGTGATATATTGTCTAATCATAGACATACATTTAATAAAAGTTTCCTTTTTGCTTTAAAAACAAAAACAAAAAAAAAAAGAACACATGTACACTCGATTATTAAGACTGATTACATGACATTTACTTGCTGTAAAGGGTAAAAAGCTCGAATTCAGTATTTCCCCTTGGGTTATTGTCACAAAAGATTTTTTCCCGTTTCTAATATTATACCTCGGATGTTATTGTTTTGAGATTCAAATATTTATCAGTAAAAAGAGAACGCAATTAATTCTTAAATATAAGAGTTCGTAATACTCATTCATCTATTGTATCATTAATAATTCACTCAACTGTAAAATAAATATACTTTCGAAATAGTTTATATTAATATCATATTTGAAATAGATTTTTCTATTATAAAACAATAATAAGTATTTAATAGTTGTAGTTCAATTCGAGAAATTGAAAGCTTTCGAATAATTTCTTATTCCTTCAAATTCAACTTGCATTCTATAGCTTGTGTCAACTGTTCTAGAATTGATCAGATCGATAATTGAATTGAGCTAAGTTAATGTACTTCAAGTGTATTTTAACTTATTTTGTATTACTTCAAGCTATTTTCAACTTTTTTGAATTGTATTAAACTAATTATTTAAAAGTACTTCCAGTTAATTGAAGCTACTTCAAAGTTTTATGATATAACCGCTATCACATATTCACTAAATATTGTGATTATAAGTTACCAGAGTCAGACTCTGCAAGTTAACGAATACTTTTAAATATAAATTATAGTATTTTAGAAATACTCGAGGCATATGAAAAGTAGTGCCAGAGATATTTTAATTGTTCAATATTTCTTTGATATTTAATAATTCTTCAACTAATATATAAATAATCATGAAAATTTTGATAAGAGTTATTTAGTTATTATAGTTTTGTGATCGATCAAGTTTTTTTTCTTCGATGTATCCTCTGTTTCTTATTCATTTTCTTCTTCTCTCGCTTTTTGCATCTTCTCTAATGCATACCCATCATCTATACATATTATAGAATATTAAAAAAAAAGTAGTGGCATTAGAGCAGAAAAACAAATATAGAAATAAGTTCATCAAGTATTTACTTAAGTAATTTTTCGGATCTGATACCATGTGATTTATTGTTTATTTGATTTAATCAAATAAAATCTAAGTAATCAGAATAATTTCAACTCGTTGGATTGTGTTGTAAACAATTCGATAAATTCATTGAATAAAGAAAATTATAGAAAACATTCGACAAATGGATTTAATGAAGGCCATAGGATATAAATAATAACAAGAACGAGAGTATTTCGATTATCCAATGAAAAAAAAAAAAAAA